ATTGAAAAGTACTAATAACAAATTATTGACAACTCATGTTAAAAATTAATCATGGCACATACATCGTGGGTATGGCCATGAAAGTGAGAAACTGAAAAACTACCCACACACTTGGAGCTTACTCTTAGGAGGAAAATACAAATAAGCAAATTACTTTCTGTGTGCATATGAGTGCGCCACTGACATTTGTTCTGTGAGCTGAATTAAGGCTGCCATCCAGTACATATTTTATGAAAATAAACTCCGTCAGACCAAGCAGGATTAAGGTTGGAGTATGTAGGGATTGCTCTGTGTATTTTCATTTTATCATACATTACATTATGCATTAAGTTGCTATAAGCTTTCACATCTTCCAGCTAGTATTCCCTATCTTCAGCATGGAAAATATTTTTAGAAACTTTAAGCCATTTACCCTTCCAGCAACATCAAAAAGAGATAATCAGGCAAGTGTGTCCAATACAAAGTTTACTGCTAGAATTAAGACTAAGTCAGCCTGAAGACTAATAGCTGACTCAGAAGAATGCAATTATCCAGTGTGGCTTTCAGGATTCTTGACCAAACCTCCTATTTCATAAGCAGTGGGTTGGTAGCAAAAATAGTTTTACTAAGGCTTCTACACAATGTGTATACTTCAGTCAAACTTTTCAGCCTTATCCCTAAGTACAATAATCAATCAGGCTTTGAAGCATTTTGGATCTGACTTTCCAAAAATACTTCAAAATCTGAAGGAGCCAAAATGTAGCTTCCATCTGCAACTCCTTAAAGCAACTGTGCCTTTCATGCCCTGGAAGGCCACCGTTGGACTTCTGCACATTCCAAAACACCTTTTGAAGGTAACTCAAAAGAGATAAATGGTAGTTGAGATAGCACGATCAAAACCTTCCCTCAATTGTACGGTGTGTGTGTGTGTGTGTGTGTGTGTGTGTGTGTTTGTGTGTGTGTGTGCGCGCGCGCGCGTGCGCATAACTGACAGAGATATCAGAGTGGTTGGGTTTTGATCTATCTCACCTGTTCTGACCTCCCTTGAGGACATGTTGGTTAAAATTAGGCAAGGCTGCTCACATGTTCTGTGTGATTCAAAGGACTACTGGAAGAGCCTGAATTAATTCCTTGTATTTTTCACAAAGTCTCTGTTTTGGCATATACAGTCAGGATTCTAAAATGAAGGTTGGCTGAGAATTCGATGAACCTTGTGAAAGATATCTAAGGCAAAGAGGAAAATGTGTGTGTCAAAGTGAAGACATGCAAAGTAAAACTCTTTTTTTTTGTCTTAAGCTCCATTCATATATTTTTCATGTTCTCTCTTTATCCGTCCTCTTCCCTTCAGCAGCCGTGAAATGGGGAGTTGATGGCCCCAGGCGGTGTACCGAAGCCCTCCAATTAAAAACATGCATTTTGTTTCTCCATCTGTTTATGCTCAGAGGATGTCTTTGTGGTGGTTTCCTTTTTCATTCTCTTTCTCTCTCTTGGTCTGTATTGTACAGAGTTCATATTTCAAATAGTAATTCATCTTTGGTAACTCTGTCTTCGTGTTTTTTTTCTTTCAGCGACAACTATTAATCTTTCTTTTTTAATTAAGAAACAATAGTTCATTACTTCTGAAAAGTATTTCTCCATCGCATTTCTTTTAGAACAGGGAGATTATCAGCCAATTCAGACGCAACCACTATTGGCAGAAGATATGGTGGCTTGGGACAATCTGGATATTACAATTCTGAGTTCGAAGCAACAATGTTTAAGTGTTCTATTATTTTCCTTTTCTCAGTTCCGTCTTTATCGGGAGAATTTCATCTTTTCCTATCTTCAGTTCTTATTATTATAGTCTGTATCAGGAGAATGAGTTATCCTGGATTTTAATTTGTCTATTATGGATTCCTCTTCTCATTATGCATTCTTCCAGATAGCACCCAAAGTAAAGCAAAAACTGGCACTCCATACATCCATTGTTATGATAAAGAGCTGAGATGAAAATGGACAAAATAAATCAACTCTAGAAGGCGTGCTGAAGATATTCTGAAGATTTTGAAATAAAGAGAAATGGCAATACGTGTTAGGCCTTACAGAGAAAATAGCAAAAGAACCAAAACAAAATGACTTGTCCTGAGGCAAAGGCAAACCTATACAGGCAGTCCTTCACTTGTGACTGATTGCTCAGTGACCGTTTGAAGTTATGACGGAGCCATCCAAAACCTATAACTCACAACTAGATTTTAAAATTCCAGTGTTGCCCACCCCCGTCATGTGACTGCACTTTGGGTGCTCAGCAGCAACCCTGCAATTACAGCTGTTTAAGCCAGTGTTTAATTCTGGTTTCTGGCAAAAACTGGCCCAATGAACAACCGTGGTGTTCACTTAATGACTGCAATTTTTACTTAACAACCGTGGTATTCACTCAATGACTGTTGTGAAACAAGCCATAAAACTGGATCCAATCATTGGGTGACCCACTTTATGACCATCAAGGTTTATGACCATAATTGCTAGGCTCAATTGGAGCCATAACTCAAGAACTTCCTGTATACTATTTCTAAATCAACAATGAATACATTTCACCTTGCTCCATAACTCCTTTGGGTAAACCAGCTGCTAAGATTATAGGACAAGCAGGATCCTGTACCTTTTGAAATTATAAGATTGCTTTAATCTGAGTAAGTTTAAACACACAAAACCTCAATGAACTAAAACGTGGCTTATCTAATTACCTAGCTTTGTACAAACCACTGAACTGTTTTTCTTTTAATGACCCTGTAATCCCTTGCATTGGGGTGGAGTCGGGCAACTGAATGGAGCTCCTGCATTTACTGGCTGGTTGGCCTTTCCTGAGGCCTATGCAGAGTTCGTAGCAGACAATTATTGTGCCCGAAAAGTGAAATCTCTCCTGCTAACTAGGATCAAACTCACAGCCTCCTGACTGTGAGGCGAGAGCTCCATCTCTAGTCACCGCCGCTTGTACGACCCACTGAATAAATGTTTTTTAAAAAATCCTTTAATGTACAGAAAGAAATTAAAAAGGCACAAAAAAACAACCAAATGTTATAATAAATATAAAAAGCATTCAGATTTTAAGCACAGTATGAGAACTTGACTATGTGGAATAATGTTGATCAGTTTTTCTATCACATCAATAAAAAAGCAACCTCATAAGCAGAGAACAGACATATCATTTCTCTAGGACTTAAAATGCAGAATGCTGCCATCTTTCATGATAAAAGAATGATAATTCTTCATGCTAGGCAAATTCACACTTTTTCATGTATTAATAAATTCTGAATTGGGGTTATACAATTCAGAATTATGTGCATATCTTTAAGCCTACAGTAATTCCTTTTCCCAGATCCATAATAACAACCAAACAAAATGAGATAAAAGTGGGCCAAGCTCATATTATATGTCGAGATGTCCTCTCTTATCATTTTAAACTTATAGCATAATAACTTTCATAGCCAACACGTCTTAAATGTTCTCTGAGGTGTCAGATAAAGGGGAAAATGTGTTGAATCAGCCTCAGTTTAAGATAGAAAGCATGCTTAATATTTGTTAAGATTAAAATGAATATTCTGACATTTTATTGCAATGCTTTTGCAAATAATCAATATTCACCCTAACAATATTACTACCCACTAAATCTGAACTAAAAATTAAAGAGGTATCGTAAGTAATTACCCCAGCACCAGAGCCTTTTCCAGAGAGCTAGATCTTCACTCAATGTGTTCAAAATAGAATAATTTGAGCCTGGTCATTTCTGCCTCGAAAGAGAACTTGGGTTCATTTGTTTGCATGTGCATACGTTTGATGGGTCTCTCTCTATATGCAGATGAGAGTCAGTTTGGGGTGGCTTTTTAAGGTTAGAAACAAGGAGACTATGAATGCTAACCCTCCCTTGGGCACTAGGTCAGCTGTTTGATTTTTGTGCCAGTTACTTCAGATCACTTTCAGAAAGGGGGAAACGAATCCCGCCATGTTTGAAACCAACAAAAGTTGATCTATGAAGTATGAGTTACACTGACTGGGCTGATGCAACAATTAGGCTGAAGGAGGGCGTCTAGCAAGTTAAGTTACAAAACAGCCAACCAACTGCTGTGTGTTTGGAGTTTTGCTTTGTTTCATTTTTGGTGCCTTTGAGTCATTGTTGACTACTAGGACAGCCTAGATCAGTCTCTGCATTTTTCTTGGCAAGATTTTCAAAGGTGGTTTGCCATTTCCTTCTTTCCAGAGCTGAGAGAGAAGGACTGACCCAAGGTCATCCAGCTGGTTTGGTGCCCAAGGTGGAAGTCCTGATCTCCCAGTTTCAGGTCAAGGGCCTTCACCACTATACCACACTGGCTCTTAATTGATGTGGCTAGCACACAACTAACAGAAATGCAGTAGCCCAAACAGTACTACAGAGAGGTGCCTTCAAGGTGATACTAAGAGGAAAGTATACTTTGAAGTGGAACATAGGAACAAATGGAAGTGAGTGGGGAATCTTAGTTGACAATGTTCTCCAGAAACAAATGCCTGCTCATTCAGGTGATGGGGCCACTGGGCAGTGTGGATAAGGCTGCAGTCTGGCAGATGGGTTGGATTATACCCCTCTTCCACCACTCTTGGCCACATCAACCAGAGCAGAGTGCTTTTCTTTTTGCATTTCTGCTCTAGACTCCAGAACAGCAGCTGCCACCCTGTCATTGGCAGCCCTTATGGCTTCCCTCCATAAGACCTCCAGAGCATGGGAAAGGAGGCATAGATGCTGCTCTAGAGAGTGTCCAGCAGCTGGCCCAGCCAAGAAGGAAGTCAGCAGAGAAGTCAGCATGCAGGGGGCTCTTAAGATGGGCAAAAAGGCATGGATGCTGTAACCCCCTGAAGTGGTCTTTCCTCTGGGTAAAATGGAGAGGTGGATTGTCCTGACCTTTCTGGGAAGTTGTTTTCAATCAAAGAACAGAGCAAATCTAAAAGAGGTTTGTCCATACTGCTGGGAGACTTTTATCCTGATTTCTGATCCATTATTTTTTTATCTGCAGCCCTTAGAAGGCCACGTTTGGGATCTCTTACGGGAAGCCGACAAGACAGCAGCGGAACATCAAGATGAAGAGCAGTTGTACGAAGCCATGGCGGAGTCTCTAGGAGATGCCTGGGACTCCCTGACGATTGTTCTCGAGAAGCGGAGGACGCTGTTAAAACTGAGTTTAGATTTCTTTGCAAATGCTCTCGAGGTCAGTCTACAAGAATAGAAAATTCTTTTCACCTTCAAAGAAAACAAATCATTGTTGTATTTCAAGTATCCCTTTCTATTTGATGACTTTAGACAGGGGGGGGGGGAAGACAATTGCAGCTGTTTTTCTGTTTCCATAGGAATGATCGGAACCAGAGCAAAAACCATAGGGTGGGAAAATGTTTTACGGTAGTGGGATCTTATCAGATAAAGTCATAGAGCTGGAAGCGACGTTTGAGATCACCAAATCCAGCCGCTTTCTCAGTGTAGGAATGCAAATTAATGCCATCCATCGGAAGTCAAAAAAGTCAAGATGGTGGTGTTGATTGCTGCCTTAACATCCCAGGAAAAGGGAACTTATCATCTCCTTTAGCAACTATTCATCCAGTGGCATTGCTGTTACTCTTCTTAACTGTCTTATCCTATTGAATAATTACTTTCAGAGTAGCCTCTGAAAGCAAGTAACTAGAAAACCTGGCTTGGTTGAGACAATGAAAGAAAGGAGGCAAGCCTGAAACTCTTGCCATACACTGTTTGCATCCTATATGGGTGGTCCTCGACTTACGACCTCAATTGAGCCCAAAATTTCTGTTGCTAAGAGAGATATGGGTTTAATGAATTTTGCTCCATTTGTCAACCTTCCCTGCCACACTTGTTAAGTGAACCATTGCCATTCTTAAGTTAGTTGCATGGCTGTTAAGTGAATCTGGCTTCCCCATTGACTTCGCTTGTCAGATGGTCTCAAAAGGTGATCACATGACCTGGGACACTGCAACCGTCAAAACATGCGAGTCAGTTGCCAAATGTCTGAATTTTGATCACATGTTCGTGGGGATGCTGCAATGGCCATAAGTGTGAAAAACTGTCATATGTCGCTTTTTCCAGTGCTCTTGTAACTTTGAACTGTCACTAAGTGAACTGTTGTAAGTCAAGGACTACCTGTAAATTGCACCCGTCTCTCTGTCCTTTTTAGCAAAAAAAACAAAACAATGGCCCGTCTCCATATCTTGGTCCTGAAATACCATTTTTCTCTTTTTAGTTACTTTATGGTCTATCAATACTGTTATTCAGTGTTGAAGGAGTTCCCCATAACTCATATGGAAAAAAAATGGCAGGGCCCATTCTACTCCTGAGGAACTCACCTGTTCTTCAGTGAGGCACCTCCCTCTTGATCCCAACATTTGAGGAGAAGGTCTCCCCCCCCCCCCCCATTCTCTGTCCTGGAAATTATCCAAGCATAAGTCATACAGGGGCCCCAGGGGGAGATTTATAGCACCTGCTGTTGCAGTTCTGAACTAGGGGAATTTCATTTCTCTCAGCAGGACAGAAACACATGCAGAGGCGGGCAGGCAGTTGGTTATGCACGCTATCAGATTCCTTGAAGTAGCAAAAGTGGAACCAAGGATCTATCCTTATTGTTCTTGAAATATCCAAGCAAGGGGCAAATGGGAAATAACACGTGTCAATTTCAAATGGAAAGCCTCTTGCTGGAAAGCGTTGCTTTAATTGACAGAATATGATTATATGTAATCTTTGTTTTATTATGATAAAACACAAGCCTCATCTCCAGGATATTCTTTAATGAAAGTCAGAAGTTAAATCCAAACGCTGGAGGATAATGGATTTGCTTTCTATCATAAAAATAATAAAAATGGAACAGAATGTTTGCAAAACAGCAGACTGAGCAAAAGGCATCATTTTTCACGATCTTTCTTAATTTCATCTGAAGTACCAACATCCTGATCAGGGGTTTTCTCTTTTACACACAGCAGATATATTTAGGAGAGAAAAGGCAAAGCTATTAGCCTGCCTGAAATACGTAGTGAGATTAGAAACCAAATAAAATGAAACAGGGAAATAAACACACACAATAAGCTACTAGTTTGCACAAACATTCATTGCAGAGGTACTGTTTTGGATCAATGGCTAAACTCCCACTGGGTCAATATGGTAAACTATAACATGTTAAACTACTTGACCCAGGTTTCAAAAATTCAGACCGAAGCAAAAATTTCTACATCTTTCCTGCCATCTAGTCATCATCTGGTTTTGTAGAGCTTGCCTCTGAGACCACTGTTCAGCTAATTAAATTACAGCTAAAAATTAAAATGTATCATATTTTAATACAGTGCTTAACTGTATGTGAGCTTATCTTCTACCTAGATGTATGTGTATTCCAATTTACATAATAGCTAGAAGTATTTTCCTCAAAAAAAAAAAAAAAAGGCAGGGTACTTGAATAGCAAGAAAACAGGCCACTCTAGGCAATCTTGTGTTTTCAAAAATACTTGCTTTTCAGGGAATCTCCCAAAGTTCCATTTTGGAATAAAAAGACTAAGAATTATATCTTTTCAATAGTGGCCATGATTTCATGAGAATTTTCCCATAGAAGATGCACTTGCAATGGGGTCTGTGAGAACCAAGATAAATTACTCTTTTCTACGGCCTTTTTGAGGTGGCTGAGAGTATTTTTTGTTTTGTTTTATTAGTATGCATATTTTGCTACAGGGTAGGATGATCTGGTAGATATTACACCCCATTGGTTTCAAAGCATTCTGCTTTAGGGAAGAATGTGAGGATTGGGGCGGCGGGGGGGGGATTCTGTTTGGTACAATCAAATATTTCCTCGAGGCTGTATTCAGTTAGTGGCAGCAAGGTGGAGGAGAGGAAATACAAGGCAACACATCTGTGGGAATTTTTTAAAAAGCTGGAACAATTATGTTGCCTGCCAGAGAACTGTTTCAGTTGATTTTCTTTGCTCTAGCAAGTCAACACAATGCTTGGCATTTAAGATTTGTCGTTGTTTGAAACTTGTTAAGCTAGCAAAAATCAGAGGATGAGGGCAACAACCAAGCAGATAACAGATCCTTGTTTCCATTTCTTTGAAGAGGTCCCTATTTCATACAAGCAGTGGAAACAGCAATTATTTTCAGTGCTGCTGGCTGGGAACTGTTGAAATTGAAATCTACCTCATCTAAAAGGTACAAGGTCGAGGAAGACAGTTTTAGAAGAACAGGACAAGTGTATTAATGGTGTGCACAGCAGTCGAAAAGCATATTTGATTCTTTTCAATGATACATGCAGCTCTTTTTGAAGAGTCTATTTTCCGTATCTCTACAGTTTGCGGCTAAAATTGACCAAGTTGAAGATTTTCTGCAGTATTCTCAAGAGTTTGAAAATCCCGAATCTCTGAAAGAACTCTTGCATCAGCACAAACTTCATACAAAAGGTATTGAAGAGGGTGGGAGCATCTTCTTTTACAAGGAAGATTTTGAGTTAAGGTCTTTCTGAATTAAAGTTGGTTACAACTTCTTCTGAAGTTAATGTTCTTGGTCACTGTTGAAATGTTGCAAGTTTTTAAAAATAACACAGATGTCATAATGTGTGCCTTTTCCTAACACTATAGATTTGCTCTGGAGAGAGCTAGATTTAAATTCTGTGCACGGTTTCAGCTTAGCCTGCATCAAGGGCTATTGTGAGAATAACATAAAGGAGAACCACTTACGCTGTCATAAATGTCACTGATTTTAACAGTTCTCTTCAACTATTGACTAAGGGTAACTCCTACTTCAGCTAATCACAGCATAAACACATCCTGGCAACATTTCTTTTCAGTTATGTCTCTATCGTATCCTGGGGTCAAAAATGGGATGGCTCAAATCACCCATGTATCTGTATCAGGTATTCTAAGTCCAACCAGGGGCAGTATCCCCATATAGAAAATCTGTTCAGTTTTTTCCCATTGGAGGGAAGCCAGATGATTGGTCATGACTTGGATCAAAAGATGCAGGATAGGGATGAGGAACAGGTGAGCACATTTCATGCTAGTATAATTTTCTGCCAGTTCAAAGATGCCTAAAGAACACTTCTACTGTGCAGCAGGGAAAATTCGTAAGGCTGGATATGATTAAATTTACATATTGCTCTGCTCTGTCATCAGAGCTTCCTAAAGTCACTTGATCGTTGTAATGCTTGACCAGAGATATCCTCTTGGTGCATCTAGTGATTCAATTGGATTTGGCATTACTGTGCCATTTGGTGCAGGAATGCTGATTTGCAGAATGCCGGAGGATTTGGCATTATTGTGCATACTGGTACATCCAAAATCTGGAAAATGTTTTAGTAGTCCATTAACACACACACTCTCTCTCTCTTTTTCTCGGAAGCAACAGTAACAGAAGACCTCGTTTATTTTATATACACTTTCTTCGTGAAGCCTCAGGAAGAACAAGCTTTAAATTGAAAACCACATGAAATGAAACCCAGGCATGTCTAAAACATTTTGAACAAATGCCTTTCCTCTTGTCAAGTTGAATGCAGCCCTCAAATCCTGGAGTGAATGTCCTTTGTTCAGATAGCCAACCATGACTGTGGTTTTTTTTGTTTTTTTTTTTAAATGTAATTTTGTATGTAATGATTTTCTTCCTTAGCCACATTTACTTCAGCAACTAAGCAATGCGCTTACTCTGTAGAGACTATTCTATGTCAGAGGTCCCCAACATTTTGGGCATCAGGGACCGGTTCCGTGAAGAGAGGATTTTCCGTGGACCGGAGGATGTGTGGTTTTGTGTGCTGCCTGCATCTCACGGATGGGGCTTTGCTTGTTTGTACTGGACCAGCATGCTGCGGCCTGGTACTGGTCCATGGATTGGGAGTTGGGGACTCCTGTTCTACGTGATACATCTGTTCTCTGTGTTTGGAATCCATTTCTTTATTAGATGGGCTGATGTGGTAGGGACTAGATAGTTAACCCTTCTCTGAAGGAATGGGCTGGACTTGATAGTGTTCAGATTCACTGCTACACTATGATTTTAGGATCAATGCATCATCATTTGAGTGGTAACAGGGTTTGCAAAGGTGAGGCCCTATCAAGCCTTACTGTTAGCCTACCTAATGAAATACAGTGGTATCTTGGTACTCAACAGCTTTGAAACTCATCAAATTTGGTATTCAATGCATTTTGAGAATTTTGTTCCGGTACTCATTGTTTGTTTGGCACTCAATGAACAAGTTAGAACTTATCAGTATCAGCTGCTTTGTGACTCATCACATTATTCCTTATGGGAAAAAAATTGTTTGGTACTCATCGTTTTTGGTACTCATCGCACATCCTGGAACCAATTAATGGTGAGTACCGAGGTACCAGTATATGCCTCTTTCTCTGTCCTGCAAAAGTCATGTCTTTGTGGCATGTTTAATATAGCAGATTTGACTCTCCATGCATTAAGGATTGTCAAACCTAGTTAATGAACAGAGTACACATTGGCAATAGCAGCCTTAACATAGGGAAGATAGGGGACATTCCCAAAAATTCTGGTTTCCCAAGCATTTAAACATAATAGTGTTATTAGGAAGCTGTCCACAAGTGAGTTATTTTTCCCCACAGCAATTTAGAAGTAGTATCTGAATGAGGTTTGGAAGAATTTTTTTTTAAAAAAGAAAATCTGTTTATACAACATGTTATAGGCAGATTTTCCTTTCTTAACTCTCCAGGTTCCTAAACCTGATTTAGATATTACTTTATAGTTAGGTAGAGGATCAAGCTATGACTGAAGAGGAACTAGAGGAAGACATCTTAAATTTTGAATGCTTCTGTCTTCCTTCAGCAATTCCTATTGCACTCTATTACTAAGAATCCCCAATGTTCAAGAGGAGAAATTGCAGAAGTACAGTAGTTCTTTAGTGCAAGGCCTAAATTGTGCTAAATTCAAGGCAGCCCACAGTTAAAATTCCCATCAAAATTTACTTCTTCAAAATATTTTCAGCTGTAGAGCAACAGCCATTGTGATCAAAAGATCACAACAGTTTTCCAATCCTTAGAAGGGTCACTTTCTAATGAAGTATGAGGCAGTTCTGGCTGTCCCTGTCTAGATGTAATAAACTAGAGAACAAATCTGTCCTCAGCCATTGAAATTCATTGGGCAACTACAGACCAGTCAGTCCAAACTATGTCATTAGGTTGCTTTGGAGATAAAATGATGGGTGATCCTTTAAATTGCCTTGAATTTTCCACAAAAAGGTGGTGTGCATATCTAAAATATAATAATACAGTGGTTGTGTTTGAAAATAAATCCTATCCATGTTAATGTATTTTTCATCCAAGAGGAAAAGCCTAATTTAGTGGGACACCCTCTAGGCATTCATTTTACAGAGAAAGGCTGCTGTCATCATTATGGAGACCAAACAGAAATGTTAAGAAACAGAAACGAGCAAGGAAGTGTTGATAGGCTGAAAATGTTAGTCAAGTAATTTTGGGGTAGTATGGCTCATAGGAGCTAGACTTGTGGTTCTCACTTGAAATCAAGAAATGTGGGCCCCTTCCACTTAGAATTGCAGGAAGAATAGTTAAGGAGCTTATTATTTCCTAGATCTGCTTAGAACAGTGGTTCTCAACCTGTGGGTCGGGACCCCATTTGGGGTCGATCGACCATTTCACGGGGGTCGCCAAGCAAGGCTGTCCGCCATTTTTTTGTCCACCATTTTTTTTGTCCGCCATTTTTTCCCCCTTTTCCGGCGGGTGCCTTACCTCCCTTGGGCTGGGCCAGCTGGTGGTCGGCCTGCTCCATCTCTGCTGCTTCCCAGCTACGCCTCGGCCGGCGCAGGGGGCGGAACCACGCATGCGCGGTGCTCCCGGGCAGGGAAAGTCCTCGACTTACGACCGGTTGGGTAGTCCTTGACTTATGACCGGTTTAGTCCTCGACTTACGACCAGTTTAGTCCTCGACTTACGACCAGTTTAGTCCTCGACTTACGACCGGTTGGGGTCGCAGCATTAAAAAGGTTGAGAACCACTGGCTTAGAAGGACTGGGGGTCCTGCTCAAGGAATTGCGGGACACAGTTCTTGGATTTGCTGCCTGAAGAAATTATCTTTGTGACATTCCAAAGTTTTCTTCTTCATCTTGCCATTGTTATTGTGATGTTGATAAGCACGATCAGTTTCTGGCACTGAGCAATTCCACAATGTACAGTTTGCCTTCTGAGTGTGGTTGTCCATCTGTGCTGGGAAGTTGGATGAGAAGGCTGATGGGGAGCTGCAGGCAATCCATTGGCATCTTGGAGAGAAATATGCAGCAGTCACAAATCCATTTACATTGCATCAAGCCGTTTATGCCTGATATAATGACTTTTATTATGGCCTGCCTGTTGTGAGAAAGGATCTGTTTTGTGAAAGCTCTTGGCTGTTACTATTATTGAAATAGCAGGGAGAAATGAAATGAACAAATAGTCAAAGGACTTTTTAAAAGAGCTAGTTTTATTGTACAAATGTAACCAGAAATCAAGTTAATATAACACAGAGACAGCTTACGAAACGTATTTGACCAAATTTCTGCTTTCAGTAGGAACATATACAGCTAAAGTGTAATCTCAGCATAGTTGAGATTCAAAGTCTAGGGAATTCAGAAATGTTTTCTTTTCTACGCAGCCCTGTACTCCACTGTCATTGGAACCAAGTGACGTTGTCTGTCAGGCTTTGAACATCACGCTACACCATTGTTTTGTTTGAATAAAGCCTGATGAACTAACTAGGTTTACTTGAGATATTATCAAGCTATAAACCATAGTTGGAAACAAATAGCTGAGTTCACATCATATGCTAACAAAGTCCAAACAAGGATGGCTATGACATGATTTTGAACCTTTAGAATCTAAAAGAAATCTTTACGTAAATCATCCTAAAAGCTTCCCTTTATTGATTATCTCTAAACGATCTACGTGAAAAATTGCTGCTAAATAGGGTTGCCAGGTGTCCACTATTTGAGTGGACAGTCCACTTTTTTCACATTATGTTCACTATTTTTTTTCACAAAATAGTGGACATTTTTTTTATTCAAAAGCTTTATGATGAAATGGTACGTAATCTAAAGCTGTACAATCTACTTTTTTACTACTTAACCCCCCCCCTGCTTGTCCGCTATTTTTTGGAAGCAGACCTGGCAACCCTACTGCTAAATTACAGTGGAAGTATTGAATATATTTGGGCTTTGTTGATAGACGACTTAAGTAGCACGAGGCAACCCAGATTCAACTCCCTTCCCCCACTTTGTTGCCTCCCTGGATAGGTTCAGCAGTATTTCCTCTTAAATATCCAAATTCAATGACGTTCCTATTTTTTCCTCTACCTCCCCTTGGGATATTTAATGTCCAACAAATTGTTCACCGACATATCGAAGAAAAGTTTCAATACAGTCGAAATTTCCTTCTTCGTGAAGTCCGGTAGTATTTTACAGTGTGATAAACGGAGGGGGGGTAGGGGACTAAGGTTATACCCTCGAACCGATGGATAAGTGTTATGAACGGTAGCCAAGCATCCTGTGATCATATGATTGCCATGTGCAAATCTTCTCTGCCAGATTCCTTCTCCGGCAAGGAAGATTGCAAGCTGCTGCCACCTGCAGAATGAACCTCTTCCCATCCCTCCTCTAGTGGGGTGCAGAAATGGGACTCGGATCCTGAAGATCCAAGCTCCATTCCTGCAGCCCACCAGAGCAATCCTCTTCTGCGCACTGAGGGAAGCTGAACTCTTCTGGTGAGGTGCAGAAACAAATCCCAAGGATTGTTACATTAAAATAGATGTAAATTGCTGTTGATTTCCTGATATAAAACAGATTTCTTAAAATTCTACCCTTTTTTTGGGGGGGGGGAGGGTTTGAAACTAAACAGGTTCCAACTTAAGTGGCTTGTATCATAGGTAATTTTGATCAAAAATTAAAACAATGAATTGAATATGATTTCGGTGGTCACACTTCAATCTTCATTGGTGTAAAGAGTTCGTTGTACAGCAATTTAAGCTTGGAAGCTTTGCCAGTGATTGAATGCCATTGCAAAAACAGAGGGTCATCCCTGAAAACGATATAAGGACATTGTTTGTCATAAGAAAAATAATTTTGTAGAACAGGGGTCCCCAACCCCCGGTCCCTGGACCAGTACTAGGCCGCGGCATGCCAGCAACTGGTCCACACAAACTAGGAAAGCCCCATCCGCAGGATACAGGCAGCACACAAAACCACGCATCCTCCAGGCCACGGAAAAACCTCTCTCCATATAACAGGTCCCTGGTGCCCAAAAGTTGGGAACCTGTTATAGAATATGGTTTTTTTCCTAAAGGGTCAAGAATGGATAGCTCATACATTCTATTCATCATTTTTGTCTTTTCAAAGAGATAAAAAATCAAAAAGCAGGTAGTCATATATGTAATTAAAATTGTCTTTTTATAGTGTACCTGGTGAGGCCGTCAATTCCAATTTTATCAATAGGTAAAATGAAAAGAACACCTTAGTTTTTAATGAAGCACATGTATTAGTAATATCCTCTTGAAGTATCTTTTTTTGCTCTGCTTAATTTATTTATGAGTGCTTGGTTGATCGTAATTTCATTCTTAACCCCATCCTGCAGGTTTTAAATTAGATGTGCAAATTAAGCCTGTCCACTTTGGTTGCACTGACTTCATTGGTCCCATCCTCCCAGCAACTCTTGCAAAAGGCAACAAAGATGATGCGTAACAATTTGGTTTTGCAACAACCTGATTCCTCAGCTTCCCTTCCCTTCATTTGTCTACCAATTTGCTCTTAGTTCTCATTCTTTTTCCACTTTTTCCTAAGTACAATATAATTGGTTTATATTCTGTATACTAAAACTACAGCTGAGATTGTGCAGTCTGGCTAAAATGCATTTGGATAGTGTGTTGTGTGAACTCAGGCAACTGGAGACAGTTTTAAAGATAGGGATTAGAACACTTTGCATACTGAAAGATCTGAGCTTCAGCAACTAGATAACCTGTAAATAAAAGCAAAATTTGAATTTTCTATAATTCTACAAAAGGATTAGAAAACTCTAAATCAGCACTTCTCAAACTTTTTGGAATCACTGCTCTCTTTATTGTACCAACTTTTTCTTAACGCCCTCTGTCCTGTGTATATGTGAATTATTTAAATATTTAAATATTTAAATTTAAATATTTAAATATTTAAAATTATTTATAGTACATTATTCTTTGCAAACAATTTTTGTAAACATTTTTTTAAAAAAATAATGAGCAGGTACCATTAAAGATTTTACCAGGTTAACAATACATTATATTTATTTTTAATAAACATTAAAACTCTAACTCTTATTTCCACTTTTCAAACTTGGGAAAAAATGGAAACAAGCAAAAAGGATTAAAAAAAAAAGAATTCCCATTCTTTCTTTCTAGTGATATCAACCCAACACAAGGGCCTTCTGTCTTATTTGTCCCCTTGAAACATTTAACAGATTATAAAAAGCGCCCCTTCCCCCCAATGTTCAGAGATACTAAGCATTTCAGAATAACAGAATGAGTTGGAAGGGACCTCGGATGTCTTATAGTCCCCACACCATTCCAGAAATGTGGATGTCCAGTCTCTTCTTAAAAACCTCCAGTGATGAAGCATCCACAACGTCTGAAGGCAAGTTGTTCCACTGGCTAGTTGTTCTCACTGTTAGGAAATTTCTCCTTACTTCTAGGTTGCTTCTCTCCTTGATTAGTTTCCATCATTCCAAAAGGCTGAGTTGTGACTTCCAGCTCCTAAGATATGGAGCACTGCTGGTTTAGTGTGACAGGTGAACCAGCCATTCCACATCTCTGGCGTGATTCTGCTTTATTCGGGAATTAGTAGCTGACCGAGAACCAGTTTGGTTAAAGGCAGGACGCTAGACACCAGGAGACTAGCAGGCAAGGGTGAGCAGCTTCTGAAATCTTCTCAAGAAGCCAGCAGTTAAGACTGACTTTAAGACACATGCATGCACACACACACACACACACACACACTTTATTAATTACTACAGCCTGAGAGGAGAATAGGGTGAAATCATGAGCCTTTTCCTCTCTACAAACTCCAGATTGTGTCAGCCATGCTAGGTGAGGCCTTTACACCTAGACTCCTTGGTGAAATTGATTTCACTAAGCATGCAGAGTTCTAAATATTGTAAAAGCCATTTAGTAAGGGGAAAACTGAAATAAATCATGTGCTTGTTTATTCTTTGGATCCTGAGATCTGATCCTGAGACAGCGTACAGCCCTGCCTTGTTACATTTAGTTTCCTTTGTCATGCAACGTATTTGCTGAAATGCAGCTGGAGACCCAGCTTTATACGATATAAGTGATTAAGTACTGCTGCTGCCTTTACATTTTGCAAAAGGCACCCTGTGTGACACAACATCTTTGTCAAATAATGTATGCAACATTTTTTGACATTTGATTTAAATTATATTTCCAGTCCTAGGCAGCTGTCCCCCGAAATTACAGATGTCTTTTAGGAGAAAGTGGTCTGCAATTTTTCTCATGGTGTTTACATG